AATTAATTGTGTAAAATACAATAGAAAAAATACTAATAAATAATATACTAAAATAAAAATAATAATTTAATTCAAAAAAAAAAATCATAAATTAATTACTAATAATGAAAATTAAAGCTATTATCATATTATTATTGTGGACTTTATTTATCTATAAAATACTAATGCTTTCAACAGAGTATTTGAAATATAAGACAAACAATGAATTGTATTTCAATAAATCTATTAATGTTTTCGATGTAAACACTATGCCATCGATAACATTGTGTTTCAATGATACCGATCAATGGATTAGTAATAAATTATCAGATACTGGCGATCCGTTTAAATATTTGTTTGAATGTTCAATAAATTATCATAAATGTCATCTATTTTATGATAAAAACTATTTGCGTTATACCTATTCTGGTAAACAATGTTTATGTTTATTTTACCAGGGCAACTTTACCAAATTGCCAAAAATTATAAATTTATTAAGCAATAGTATAAAGATATATGTTTATAATATTACAAAAATAAAAATAGGATTATCAACTAGCAATACGCCGACACATTTTCAATACAGCTATAAACGATAACTATAAATATTTTGTATATCTTATAGAAACAAATCTTCAACAATACCTGCCGTTTCCCTATCAGACTGATTGCCAATACTATGATATCGATGATGGGGTCGACAAACAATCAACTGATGGACGACTACTACAACTACAACCAAAATCACGAACTGAATGCATGTTAAATATAATGACTGATAGAGAGTATAGAAAATGTAATTATAATTACTATTGGATTCAATATCCTATAGATAATAATATTTCAAGAATTTTTGAACTTAATAAACATTTTGATAAATTAAATAATAATAATAATAATATCAACGATTGTATTGTCGATTATAAAACTAGTGAATTATATACTAAATGCAAACCCGATTGCAATCATTATAAGTATGATATTTCAGTTTCGGAAAGTGTAAATTAATTCAATAATAAATATAAATTACAATTATTATTGAACACATAAATCAATTAAAATTAATTATAATACACTCACCAGTGATGTCAGCCATTGGCTATTGGTGTGAATTGGGAGGACTGATGAGTATGTTTTGGGGATACAGTTGTTATTCATTAATAGTAACTGTAATTGAAATGTTTTCATTGATAAAATTGTTTACAACTAAATTTGAAACAATATTTAAGTTTAATATTTTCAACAAATTCTATAATTATATTAAACAACTAATTCATTATTTAATATTTATTATATGTTTTTTGGTAATGTGTTGGCATTTATTGTCGATAATAGCAACTTATAAAAGTTATAAAATAATACCACAAATAAAATTTAAAAACAATATTAGACTACCAATGATTTCATTAGTAAGCGGTACTTTAGTACCATTGGTTGTAAATAAATTTGAAGATGATATGGATAAAAATAACATTGATATTTCTAAACATATTGTAACAATCGGTTACAACCGTTACCCAACTTTTGCTAATTATATTTGTTGCAAAATTATTATTGATTGTGTTAAAAATAAATATTAAAATTATGAGTGAGTGTGATTAATTAATTAATTAACAACCAGCCAGCGATCAGCAGCCGGTCGGACGACCGGGAGCCCGAATCACGACCACCGCCCGTCCACAGGAGGTGAAGCAGATCTTTATTCAAGTAGCCAACGATGTCTGGCCAGCGGAAAGCGAGATTGCCGACACCGATGACTCTTTTATCAGAAGTGGGATTCGAACCCACGCCCACGGTTGTAACCGATTGTTACATAACAACTAATTGACTCTCCTGTAGTCTCTCTTTTTTTCCTCGACTATCCACTTAATTATATTAGACCGACGACCGAGTTGTGCGCACCAACCCCGTCGTCGGCCCAAATACGGGTGTAGGGCGGAACAACGATTTACATATCTTACTAAATAAGTCTTTAATATAATGATTCAGCTATTACGCACAAAATACTGTTACAATCGCCACCCAACCATTGTTGATCGTCCCTGATCGACTCAAAATTACAAATCAGATTAAATAGAGTACAATTGCATGCATTTTCTGAATTCAAAACAACAAGTGTTTCCAAAAAACCGACGTCAAACACCTCTTCTAGTAGGTCATCGATATCGATGTTGAATCGTCGATCAGGCCAGCTTCCTATCGACAAATGACGTCGACTTAATATCCAATTAAGTCGACCACGACTTATAACACATTGAACGTCTTCAATGGGATGCGCTTAATGTATGGACATAACGAAGGCTCGCATACAGTTTCTTCAGTACTGAATAACTCAGGGCTCTAATGAACCCTCTGCGAAATCGTTATCCTATCAACATTCTGTTATACAAAATACTGATAAATAACAAATGTGTTCTGTCTTTGTGTAAAATGTCTTTGTGTATGTATTAGGTTAAAATTTAAATTAATCATTCAAACATAAAATAATAGAATAAAATAATAATAACTAATAAAAAGTTATCTGCGGGCGGTCAGCTTTGACTCCACAAGACGCGTATACAGATACCTTTTAATATGAGCAATCTAAAATATTCAACCATTATTGGTTGAAACACAACAGCTGATGATTCCTGATGACTCACTCGGTAGGCTTTCTCTACAGTCAACAACGGCAATGACGTGGAATTCGACTTTCATTTGTGTGTCAATTATTGGATAATTGAAAAACGGGTCCTTACTACTTAGTAGATTAATCCGAGACCAGAATCCTTGTCCTTCAGGTTTCATCTGAACTATGAACTCACAGCCAACCACTGATCCAGGTGATTCCCATAATAGTCCAAGATGTTTGTCGTCCCTTTTTCTTAAAAATGGTCTCCCCGGTCTGTCGATATAACTTGGGAGCCGAGCGGCGGTGTCCCTTACCAAGGATCTGGAAAGATGTAACCTTTTGTATTGTGTTTTAATTTCTGTTGTGATTTTTCTCTTCCTTGTTATCCGGCACTGTTTTTCTGGTAACTGATAAGGTTGGCTTAATGCGTAAAATGGTGTTCCATGCATGTCTTTAGACGTTATTTTGAATCTGTACTGTCGACCATATCGTTTACTCGAAAACTCGGTCATGAAATCACTGCATCGTTTGATATGAGTCCATACATTCTGTGTATAGTCTATGACCTCGATGTCAAATACCGGGTTGTCATTCTGATAATCAGGTGAAATTTCGTCCCAACATAACAACTGTGGTGTCTTCGAGTTGTACGTTCATTGGATATACCCGTTCATGATCGTCTGTGATGTCCGAAGTTATAGATAGAGATTTACTTTGTTTAACTCTATGGTCTGCTTTTGAATAGACCCCACTATTGTATGTTATTCGACTCCATAAGCATCTTAACTTTTCCACTAATACACCTTTCGTCCTTAGACAAGGTATATGTATACCTTTCTTCAATTGCTTTAATTGGCCGAGTGACAGTCCTTCAGCTCCAAGAATTTTGATTGCGCTGCCTTGCTTTGTTTCTTCTGTTCTATTTACGGATTCGTCTTTAGCAATGGTGCAAATAGAATCGGTTGTTTCTGTGGTCACCATTTGACTGATAGTTCTCAGTAGTGGCATCCGTAATGGCAATTGAATCCGTATAGGGAGTCTCGGAAGCCATTGGAGGCGCCGTCGTATAAGATGACGGTTGAAAGTCGGTTACTTCAGTACTCTGTCAGACACTTCTGAGACCTTTTCGGCTTGAACAGCAAAATGTTCTCCACTTTCACGTTGCAAAATCAAAAGATATTCTTTATTATCAGGGTTTTGAACCAACGATACTATCGTATATCGTTCGCCATTTACTTCAATAAATTGATTGTCCACATGTATCACGTTATTAGTGTCCTTATTGTTCAGATGAGTGTAAATATTCTGATCACTACTCTGGTTAGAGTTTAAACATAATAATTGTTCTGCAGCGATGCTTGTATTATTGTTTTGTATTTGCTTCTTGTTAGCCGTAGCCAAGTTAACCCTTCTGGCTTTATATCGTGTACTTCTGAACCAGTTGCCGATTGATTTTCTACTACAGTTTAGTAGTTTCGTCAAATTTGCCATATCGACAGATGATGGATATGTGTTAGAGTTATAAAATTCTTTTAACATTTTTCTTTGATTTTCAGAAAATCGGGGTTTATTTGTTTTTGGATTCGTCAGGATCTGACCACTTGGGTTAGCAATTCCCGAAACACTGACAGCGTCTGTAGTTGTTGAGGATTTATTTTTAGTTTCGATGGGTATCGTCGATTGCAGTACTTTGTCCAATACTATATTAACAAATATGGTATAAATATGTTTAACTCAACTAATAGACAACGATTACGACAATTATATGATTCAGTTATTTATTGTCGCTTTATATTTACTAATCACTCGGAAATTGATTGTCGAAAAAAATGGAAATTATTTTTGAAACCATTTGATGTAAGAATAGCATCGAATCAATTGATTATCTTTTATACTATTATATATAAAATGTTAATGAATTTAACAGATAAAACAATTGCTAATATTAGACAAAATATATTAAAACATTTAGTTATTAGATTTGATAATTTGAGAAATAATAATAAATATCTGGTATTATTAAGTGAATTTGACGATTGGACTAATGGAAATATTATTCATATAAAATTAAATAGTATAACAAATATTATTTATACGACTAGTCATCAAACTTTTGCCGACAACAATAACATCCAGTAGTAGTAGTAGTAGTAGTAGTAGTAGTAGTAGTGATACAATCAGTCAATGTTTAGATACAATCGACAATCCATTTGATCGCTTAGTTTCGGAAAATAGCAAAACGGATAAAATCAATGATTGTATCAAAAATGAATATTTAAAAACAAATAGTTGTTTTCCATTTATATTTAATGATTTAGATTTATCAGAAAACAATGATATAAGTGATTGTCAGAGCAATGATTTAATTGATTTACACTTTCGTATTGCAATGAAATGTTGGAAACAATTGATGGGTCAGTGTTTCCGAATACTGGCGGATATCAGTTCAACAACAGTCGGGTTGTAGTCGACATCGACGGGATTCCCGAACTATACTCAGATCAATATAATACCCAAACATGGATTAGAGCCACAAATCACTGAACAGTTAGCTATGGATATCTATTCGCTTATCTATGAAATCGGTTGTACTATTGGTATGTGGATCGGCATATCTGTTATCACTTGTAGTCAACTATATTCATACATATATATTGTTATTAAAACATTATATAACATATATATAAATTATAAAAATCGTGTTATAATTATTTAAATTTAATATATTTTTTTTGTCATAGATAAAAATATTTATTTTTTTAAAAATAATTTATAGTTATTGATTATACAATATTTATAATAAAACTATTAGTATATATTAATTTATATTGTTTTCTGTTTTTATCAATATTATTTAATATAAATAATTTATATAAAAATTATAAAAGATTATAAAAAAAAGTTAAAAATTAATGGATAATTCTCATAAAAATTAAATTTATCTAATTTGATTTATTTATTTTATGTGTGTTAACATGTTAACAGTATAGCAAATTTTAACTAATAATTTTAATAAAGTTTTTTAAAGATTATTTAATTTAAATTTTTAAAGTAAAATTAAGTAATAAAGTTTAAACTACAAAAAAACTAATCTAGCTTATAATTAATTACTCTACGTGTTAATGTACGTAATAGGTAAATGTTATTTATAATAATAATAATAATAATAATAATAATAATAATAATAATAATAATAATAATAATAATAATAATAATAATAATAATAATAATAATAATAATAATAATAATAATAATAATAATAATAATAATAATAATAATAATAATAAAAATTTCTGATGATTAATAATGATGATACAATTTTTATAAACATTAAAATTATTTTACTAAAAATGTTTAACTATAATATACAATACAAACAACTTTTTTGTTACAAAAAAAAATATGAATAAAAACATAACTTTATGCTATAATTATGTATTAACAATAAGTTTATGTATATCGATATTTATTGCGGTAAATAATTTTTTATCTATAATCTTATATATTATTATTATTATTATTAATAAAATTAAATAATATAAGAAATATGTTTATAAATTTTTGTATTAAACCATTTAATTTGATTAATATTTTATTTTTTATTATTTAATTAGAGATTACCCAATGTTATACAACGGGCATCGATGACTGATTATCAACTAATATATGGCATAACATTACAACAATTATCATATGCTTATGCTATCAATAATTTTATGTCAATGTTAGGATCAATGGGTAAGTTTATTAAAATTAAAATTAAATAATAATTACTTATTAATTAGTAATATATATATTTTTAAAAATATTACATTTCAATATATAGTATTTATTTATTTTTGTTTACTATAGATTATTATCATAAAATTGTCAGTAAAATAATTAAATAATATGTTTATTATTAAACTAATTTAAAAATAAAATTATTTATTTGTTTTGTTTATACCGTACAGTAGGTTTGGTATCAAGTTATGTAAATAAACAATTAGTTTGTATGGTTAGTTTGGTAGTATATGGCACCTGTAGTGCCTTGTTTGCCAGTCTACCCGCTTATGGATGGCTAATGGCAATGATGTCGGTGTCCGGTCTGTTTTACGAAGGTTTCTATCTAATGAAAAACTTATGGCTAATACAAATGTGGTCCAAACAGTGCGGCCAATATCTGCAGGCATTGAATTTTGCCGATAGTATGGCCAGTATAGTGGGACCACTAATGGTCAGACCGTTTCTATCGAATACAATACAAAACGATACACACATTGATCATAGAGTGGGCACCGAATCACAGCTATATATACCGACAATAATAACTGGTTCGTTGACTGTCGGGTGCGGCATATATTTAGGTATATTTTATTTTGTAAAACGATATGAGCCGAGACCAGTGGAAAGTAATCAAAATAATTTTAAACCGTTTTTAAAAAAATTATTAAACCGTTTACGTATTGAATTGGCACCCAATGTCTACCAGTTTATACAATTATTATTATGCTCAACAATATTGGCACTGTTTTATGTATTTCAATCGCCACAGTATTATTTGTCAACATTTGCACAGTTATCTCAACTACATATGAGTCAACAATCGGCCGCATATTTAGTGTCCGGGTTTTCAATAGCATCGGCCGTCAGTCAACTGGTTTGCATATTTGTAATAAAATACCTGAACGTCAACATAATAATGTATACATGTTTGGCACTTATAGTTATCGCACAATTACTATATCTATTTTTTGCCAATCATTTACTGTCCGTCATGTGGACGGCAACCATACTGTTTGGTATTGGTTTCGGACCACTAATTGGTTGTATATTGAATTATATGGAAATCCTATTTCCCGTAACCGATATGGTCGGCATGTTTTACTCATTGGTTTTATATATTGGATTCATATTAATGATACAATTGTTGGGCATTTTTATTATCATTGATGTCATGTCATTAGTTTATTGTAATTTATTAACATCTATTTTGGCAATTAGTTTACTAATTTGTGTTAATATTTTACATTATTTACACAATAAACAACATTAAACACTTATATTTAAATTATTAACTAATTAAGTGTATATACTGTATATACTGTCTACTAAATATATATATAATTACTGTATATTATTAAATTACATCATTCCTACAATTATAATTATAAATATTATATGTTTTTATATATGTTTATATTTTTAATTATTTTAATTTTAAAATGTTCTTTTGAGTTAAAGTACAAATCAACAAATAATGGATRAAATTATTTTTTAAAAATAAAGTTTATGATAATTTATTTAATATATTTACATATTTATTATATACTGTGTATAGTTTATATATAAATTTGTTTAATACAGTTGTATTTTTTTAAATTTCACATTACATTATAATTTTCAATAAATTTTTTATAATTTTTTTTAATATGATTATGTTATTTTTGATTACTTTAGATTTATTTATTTTTTTATTAATTTTTTTATTGAATAACTTCAATAAAAATTTTGTACATTATGTACAAATCAAGTAAACATTTTTGTCTAATCATTGAATATACGTTTATAAAATTGTATAACACGTGTATAAAAACTTACGTAAAACATATATTTATAGTACACACACACACACACACTCACGCGYGCGCGTAATTTTTAACATAATATATAAAAAAAGTAATTTAATTTACAATTATTAGGTTTAATACAATAGTTTTACAACTTTAGTTTAGTATAATAGTTTAATAAATCAAATTTTAATTTTTAAAACGCTCAAAAAATTATTTAATAATAAATAATAATTTGTTTGACATTCCTTTTGCTTATTACTATTACATGTCTAAAAAATTAAATTTAGTATTAATTTTATTGTTAATTTAATTGTTAGATAATTATTATTTAACATATATTTGAACACTAAATGGACAAACAAATACTGTATATGTTTGTTATAAATATGTTTTGACAATATGTAAATGTTTGTCAATTTTTATTGCAGTAAATATTAATAAAATTTAAATTATAATTATATTTATAATAAAAACCAGTTGAGAATGCTAGAAAGCATTTCCATACGAACTCCTAATCCAAATTAAAAATTAAATTAAAATCGAATGATTAAGTATGACATGGATGTGGACTCCACATTGTGGAGTAACAAATCACTCAGTATCACAGAATAAACTCAACTTTAGTAATATGGGGTATCAAATGACTCAGTATGACAAAATAAACTCAACAATTCATATAGGTTATCTAATGACTGTATGCAAAAAATAAACAACCTTAGTTATGTGGAGTATCAAATGATTCAGTATAAAAAAATAAACTTTACTATAGCCATGTAGGGTATCAAATAACTCATTATGACAGAATAAACTAAACTTTAGTCATGTGGGGTATCATATGATTCAGTATAAAAAAATAAACAACAATTCATATAGGGTATCAAATGACTAAATATGCAAAAAATAAATTCAACCTTAGTAATGTGGGGTATCAAATGACAGTAGGACAAAATAAACTCAAACAATTCATAGAGAGTATCAAATAACTAAAATATATTATTAGTTTTACTATAAATATAACTTAAATTTAAAGAGTATTAACTCAAGCTTTATTTTATCTATTTTATTTAAGATATAAAAATTTGTTTGCTAATTTCATATAACTTATTTTTAATGTTTAATTCCAATCCAAGTATTAAATATTAATTTTAAAATTTTTGTACTTTGGCCGCCAATTTTATATACGTTCTTAAAGATATTAAATTTTTTATACTAATCAATATATCTTATTTTTGAAGCTTTATTCAAATTTATATTTATAATGTTTTCAAATTTTTGTACTGTAACCGTCATTTTCTCTTTGTTCCCGAAGAGATATAAAAATTTTAATGCTAATTCCTTTGCTAGTTTTTGATGCTTTATTCAAATCTATACTTAAAAATTTTTACCTAAATTTTTTTTAACTTTGGCCTCCATTTTCTCTATATTCTGATGAGATATCAAAATTATATAGATTTATTGAAAAATTATAAAAAATACAACTGTATTAAAAAAAATTTATATAATTTACTATAATATAATATCCGATATGGTCGGCATGTTTTATTCATTCAACTATTATATTACATACATATTAATGATACAATTGTTGGGCAATTATATTACTAATTATATAATGATATTTGTTTTATATCAACTTATTAGCCGCTATTTTGGCAATATTTATGCTGATCTGTGTTAACATTATTAATAATTTACGTCAGAAAAAAATAAAAATTAATCAATAATTTTAATAAAAATTAATTTATATTGTATTTAACAGTTTTGATTACATATTATTATTATTTTATACTTATATTACAGTATTCATAATATTTCATTTGTTTATTRCAATTTATTTATTATTTTAATAATTATAGTCAATATTTTGGCTAAATTACATAATAAATTAATTTATATATAATTTTTTAAATTTTAATTTATTCATATTTATTTATTATTAAATGTAATTAATTTTATTATAAAAATTTTTTTATTAGATGTATTTATTTTAATATTTTCTAATATTTATATATATTTTATATTCACTATATACTGTATATTATAATAGTAACTAATAAAACACTATAACATTAAACATTACTATATTGTTTGAAATATTAAAAAAAAATTAAAAAAAACAATTAAAATGACCTCGCCAAATTTTTTTATGAAATTTTTTGCGCAACTTTTGTTATAATCTAAATAAGTAATAAATAAATAAATATATATATTATGTATATATTATATAATATAATACATATCTCATTAAATCATATAAAGTATTATATAAATAAATATCAAAATACATACCGATTTGGTTTCCATGTACTCSAGTATGCCGTCCTCACCGGCTTCGCGACCCAAACCGGACTCATTATAGCCRCCAAACGGCAGCTGCGGTGCAACCGCTATAAACGTATTGATCCAGACATTACCCGAAYGGACGGCCTGWGCAAAGCTGAGGGCTTTGTCAATGTCTTGGGTAAACACACCGCTGGCCAAACCGTAAGCCGTATCGTTGCACCGGTCGATAACGTCGTCCGTTTCCTTGAACTTGATTATACACTGAACCGGACCGAAGATTTCTTCTCTGGCTATTGTCATGTTGTCGGTAACGTCGGTAAACCTATGGATAAACAGTGAAACAGKTTGGGAGACATACCTTAGTTACASTGATTACTACTACTACTACTACTACTACTACTACTACTACTACTATACTATAAAACTAACAACTACTACTACTACTACTACTACTACTACTACTACTACTACAATATATAAATAATAKMATTACACTGTTGGCTGTATAAAATAGCCGCCGCCGMCACTAGCSGTGTCCASTCGTTTGCCGCCGACARCAAGTTTGGCGCCCTCTTGTCGACCGGTTTCGATGTATTTGAGTACTGTTTGCATCTGCCGATCGTCGACTACCGGTCCCTGTTCGGTACGGTCGTCAAACGGATCGCCCACCCGACGATCACTGGCCAATTGGACGCACCGGTCGAYAAACTGGTCGTAGATTGACTCGTGAACGTACAGTCGGGTTGACGCACAGCAGGCCTGACCCGAGTTAATAAATACCGAGAAATGCTATAAATAGCAAAAAAACAACATTTTGTAGTTTGTATAGYGATAGTAGACTGTAGTCGTCCTAATCAAAAAAAATGTACCGCAGTTTTGGCGGCCAACTCGATGTCGGCATCGGGAAACACAACGAGYGGCGATTTGCCTCCAGTTTCMAGAGTTACACGCTTTAGGTTACTATCGGCCGACGCCCTGAGTATAAGTTTRCCAACTTTAGTGGAACCGGTAAACGATATCAWACGGACATCCATATGTTGGGCCAGTGCAGCACCGGCAGTCTGGCCAAAACCGGGTACAACATTGACCACACCGGCCGGAATGTCGGCCTCTTTGACCAGTTGTGCTAAATAWAGTGCCGTCAACGGTGTCTATCGGGCGGAAACGGTGTTTTCCCCGAGTGTTATTATAATAGGATAGTATCAAAAATGTAATTACCTGTTCGGCTGGTTTGACAACTACTGTACAACCGGCTGCCAATGCCGGAGCCAGTTTGATGGYTAGCAAATAAAACGGTAGGTTCCACTAATATAAAGTTGTTATTTAACAATTAATAATTATTATCATTATTACTGAATAATGTGATTCAATTACCGGAACGATTAGTCCGCAAACACCTATCGGTTCTTTGCGAGTCCAGGCCATACATTGGCCATCAGCTGGTATACAAGTGCCGTGTAGTTTGTCGGCATAGCCGGCATAATAGCGTATCATATTGACCGCCCACTGGCACTCAGTACGGGACTCGCCAATAGGCTTACCGCTATCTAGTGTTTCCAAACTGCAAATGTAGTCCAGGTCTCGCTGGCACAGGTCGGCCAATCGCCATAAGCTCTGTCCTCTCATCGATGCATCAATTGTACGCCAAACCGATTTCTTTTGGTTAGAGTTTTAATTAATTAATTTAATTAATTATTATTATTATTGATTGTAATACCCTATTGAAGGCATCGTTGGCCGCACGTACGGCCCGATCAATGTCTTTATTGTTGCCCTCCTGTATCCGACATATGGTCTCACCAGTTGATGGATTGATTGTTTCAAATGTCTGACCAGTTATAGAGTCAACCCATTCATTGTTGATAAATAACTATCAATACACAAAAAAAATAATTAATTTATAGACAATAATAAATTAATAATATTTAAATTATATAAATAAATTATTATATCTACAATATAATTATAACTAACCATAAAAAAATAAAAATATAATACTTATTATGTTATATTATATAAACAAACAAAAAACATACCTGGGTAAATTTAATTTGTGGATTACGTTCAACTATAACAGTTGCCATTGAATTGTTTTATATAATTTATTTATATATTTATACTAATTTATATTTATAATAATTATAATAATATACTATATATATATATATATATATATGAMAGTGCTAAATTTTGATAGTAATTGTGATTAAATTATCACTGATAAGTTATAAATAAATTTTAATGTTTATATATAATGGTATAAAAATTATAAATATGTTTTTGATGTTTATATATTAATATATTATAGATATATTATTATTATTATTAAGATATAATTGATGATTAAAAAATCATAAATTTTTAAAAGTATTTATTAATTATGACCGCCGGCTATATTTATTGGCTTAATATGATATTATTTTTAATAAAATGTTTTAATACTTGTCATCAATGATAATATATACATATTATACTGTATATACTATATACTTATTGATAAAATTAATAAATAATTTATGTGTAAATGTATAATATGTACAGTATATTATTGATTAAGTCAATATCTATAATATTTTTATTTATTATATAATACTTATAAATTTGTTGAGAGTTTAAATGATTTTGTTGTAATAATTTTATTTTTTATTACTAATAATTTTGAAATTGAATAAAACAATAAACTTTTAATTTTTTTAATTAACATCAAAACTGACAAAAATGTTAAAATATTAATATGTTGTCAATATATATCATATTTTTTTATCAATTTTTTTTAATTATACAAATGTTATTCAAAATTAAAACATTAGTTTATTTGTCAAAATCATATTATTATTATTATTATTTTGTTAATAACACAAATATTATAACTACCGTATAATAAACTATACAATAAATTTTAATATTATTTGTTTGAAAAAATATACATTAAAAAATCAATGATAATTATTGATTATCTTTTAATACTTCAATGTCATTTAATTTTTATATATAGTATATTTTTTATAGTAATATTTAATAATAAATATATTAATACTTATTATTTTATTAATACTGTAAATCAAATAGATTTTTAAAATATATTATAAATACTTATAATTATAAATTATTATTTKTTTTGTTTTGTTTTTTAATGACAATTTGATGCCAATTATAATTTTCCAGATGAATGATATTTTATAATAAAATGTTAATAAATTATTATWATTATTATATAATATTAGTGTATTATTATAAATGATTGATAAATTATAATAAAAWYTTTTTAAAAAAATTATTTCTATATTAAACTATTACTGTTCTAATTATAAATTWGTTTTTATTATAATTATATTAACAGTAATTATTAAAAATATTTATTAAAAAAAWTTTTATATCCTGAGTACAAATTTAATGACTGTAAAAAAATTAATGTTTTTTTTGTACATAAAAAGTTTTTTATGAGATATATTTTAATTAAATAAATTTTTTACTATATATAAGAATTTGTTGSGATGAAATGAAAATGATTTTCAAAAAAAATTGTTATTTATTTTAACACTTAAAAAGTCGAATATTTTATTTATTTTTTTCACAGAAATATTTAAGTAAATTAAAAATAAAATAATAAGTTATTTGATATTTTCTTAGGCATTATACAAAAATAGATAATCTTATAAAGACAATTAATGATAAATTATATAATAATTTTAATAATTAAACATGATGATTTTTAAAAAAATGTATATTTGTTATATAAAATATTCAATAAATCATATGAAAGCAGAAAACATATATTTTTTTAGTAAATTAAATTAAATCTTTTTTAAAATAATTATTTACTAGTATTTAAATAATTTATTATTTTTATAGTTAATATTTTATTCAATTTTTAGTTATCTTAATAACAATTATAAATTATTTTACTTGTTTAAGTTTTTATGACAATTGTCAAATTATTATTATTATTATTATTATTATTATTATTATTATTATTATTATTATTATTATTATTATTATTATTATTATTATTATTATTATTATTATTATTATTATAATAATAATAATAATATATTAAAGTGTTATAAATGATATATTATTACAGATAATCCTGATATAATAATGATAACAAATAAATAAATTATAGTTAATCTAAATAATGACATATGTTTTTTAAATTAGTTTATTTTAATTGAAAATTACATAAAAATTTATTAACTAATGAATTGAATGGAAGAGATTTTTGAAAAAATATTTAAAAATAAAATTGATTTTTAAAAAAAAACTTGATTTTGAATATYATATTAAACTATTTATGAATGAAATTTATTATCKAAATATTTTTTATTTATTTTAATTAAAATGTTTTTTAGTTATTTTTATTAGATTATTAATTATTACTACTAATAATAATAATACTAAAAATAATTAAAATAATCAGTAACTCAACTACCAATATATTAATATTTTTCATATATAAAAATATTTTATTTTATTTTTAATGACATTGCAATTTAAAAGTTACAATGTATTATAATAATATTTGTAAAAATATCTGGTTAATATAATAACGATAGATAAATAATTATTTTTTATTACAAACAAAAAATTAAATTGTTTAATCACAAAATTTTAGTGATAATATTATTTTAATGATTAAACTATATAATAATAACATAATGTATAAATTTTTTTGAAAAAAATTATAACTAAAAAAGTATTTAATTAATTAACTTTATAAATAATTTTTTTTACATTTTGGTAAAATATATATATATATATAAATTAATTATATTAATTTTATAATTATTGTTATAAAAACTATTGAATTGCAAATAAACAAAAACAAAACAAAAATGACTAAAGAAATATCTGTTTGTTATAAATATGTTTTAACAATAAGTCTATGTTTGTCACTATTTATTGCGGTAAATATTGTTTAAATAATAATAATAATTAAATTGTTTTATTTTTTTTAAAAATTATACTAATATTAATGGGTATTACAGATATTATTTAATAATTTAAGCATTTTTTTTATGTTTTTTTTTGTTATTTAGAAACTACCCAATGCTATACAACGGGCATCGATGACTGATTATCAACTAATATATGGCATAACATTAAAACAATTATCATATGTATTGACAGTTAAAAATATTATGTCAATGTTTGGATCATTGGGTAAAACAAATTAAAACAATATTTATTTATTTATTTATTTATTTTTTATACAAAAAAATTATCACTTATTTATTTATTTTTTTTAGTTGGTTTGATATCAACTTATGTTAATAAACAATTGGTTTGTTTGATCAGTTTAATCATATTTGGCACCTGTAGTGCCCTATTGGTCAGTCTACCCACATATGGTTGGCTAATGGCTGCGATGTTTTTGTCCGGTCTATTCTTCGAGGGTTTCTATCTAATGAAAAGTCTATTAGTAGTTGAATTGTGGTCCAAACAGTGCGGTCCATATATGCAGGCACTGAATTTGGCCAATACATTGGCCAATATATTGGGACCAGTTATGGTCACACCGTTTCTATCGGATTCAATACAAAACGGTACAGAAATATCATATACAATAGGAAGCAAATCACGTATAGATATACCGACTATCATAACAGGATCGTTGACTGTCGGGTGTGGCATATATATTGGTATACTTTACTATTTTAAACCGTATGAGCCGAGAGAAGTAGACACCAGACAACAACAACAACAACAGGAAGATACAGATAATTCAATTACTTTATACTCGAAAATATTAAACCGTTTACATAGAGAACTGGTACCCAATTGCTATCATTTTTTTCAATTACTAATGTGTTCACTGATATTAGGATTGTTTTATGTGCTTCAATCGCCACTGTTTTATTTGTCAACATTTGCACAGTTATCTCAACTACATATGAGTCAACAATCGGCCGCTTATTTGGTTTCCGGGTTTTCAATAGCATCGGCCGTCAGTCAATTGGTTTGCATACCGGCGTCAAAATATCTGAACGTCAACCTAATAATGTATACATGTATGGCACTGGTATTTATTGCACAATTACTATATCTATTTTTGATCAACAATTCACTGGCCGTCATATGGACGGCAACTATATTGTTTGGTATGGGTTTTGGGCCACTAATTGGTTGTATATTGAATTATATGGAAATACTATTTCCCGTAACCGATATGGTCGGCAGTTTTTATACAATCGTAATATATATTTTATATATATTAATGACACAATTTCTAGGCATTTATATTACTATTGATAAAATGTCATTTGTTTATTGCAATCTATTAACTGTTATTTTAGCAATTGTTTTGCTAGTTATTGTAAATATTATGGCTAAATTACATAATAAATAAAAAAAATTCGTATGTTTTAATTGTTTATTAATTTTATTATTTTATAATAATAATAATAATAATAATACTAACTATCATGCATCTAGAATATAGCATAAAATTATAATTAAAAAAACTAATTTATAATTTAGAACAATAATAGTTTAATATAGAAATAATTTTTTTATCTATTTGATCTACATTATTATAATTATAATAATAAGTATTAATGTATTTTTTATTAAATATTAATAAAAAAATATACTGTATATAAAAATTAAATGACATTGAAGCAAAAGATAATCAATAATTATCATTGATTATACAAACAAAACAAAATTAATTAATTAATTAATACTAACAATAAACAAACTAATAATAAACATTATTAACATTTATAATAATAATTATTATTTTTGAAAATTTAATTAACATTTTAATTTTTATTATTATAAACAGTATTAACCGCAATAAATAGTGACAAACTTATTGTTAAACATAGACTTATTTATAACAAACATATTTATAACAAACAGATATTTTTTGATTAACAATTAATTGAATTCAATTATTTTTAATTAATAATAWTAAATAACTTTATATATTTGAAAGTTATATTCAAAAAAAWRTAATCTATATAATAAAATAAATTAATTGGTAATCATTGAAATTATATTATCAATAATTTCTATGATCAAACAAATTTTTTTATATATGTAAAATAAAATTATTATTTATCTATTAATGTTAAGCAGATTTGTTT